GTTTTTCTAACAAACGATAAATACATGAGATTAAGTTATAATTCATTAAAAGTACTCCAAATGTCTAAATTTAAACGCAGAGATAAGTACATAATTACACTTATGAGATACTTTCTTATTAGTACTTATTTTAATCTTGCAATAATACAAGGTTAAATGCCGAATAAAATCAACCTATTTACATTAACACATTATTGTTTAAACAAATAACTTAAGCAGGTAAAAAAGCCTATTGTTACTTGATCACCCAAATTGTCGTCCATGTAAAGTTTAAGTAACTGATGTAATAGAGACGGACGTTAGATGATCAAATATAAATATAAATATAAATTGAGTTACCATCACAAGGCATATCAATAGATAAGGGGTTTTGTTCATCAACCATGCTTTCGAGGGAACTTATAAGTTAAGCTCTTGTTTGGTGGATATTAAAATCAAATTCTTAACAAATTTTATAATTGAAAAGTTGTAAATTTTGCATAGTAAGTGATTAAAATTAATTTTGATTTTGACTTACATTAAAATTTTAATTTTAATCCCGGAGTGGGCTAAAAGCATTTGTCTATTTGATAATAGTGATCATGGCCAACCTATTTAAGAAAGAATATTCTTAAAATGTTGTTAATGACAAAAACTCCCCTAAAAACAACCATGCATCTTCAACAAAACTACATGCATCTCCTCTCGCCTCCTACTCTTCCATATCTATTCCAATCCTGGTTTGTCGTCCCTGACACGGACGGCAAACGTGTAACGTACGATGTCGACACCGTCCATTTCCTCGACCATCACAGCCTCTTCCTCCTCTTCCCTATCTCTGCTTCCCCCTTCCCACCTACTCGAAATCAGCCTGATATCTGCTCAAAACCTGGCTCCTGTCTCCAAATCCATGCGGATGTACGCTTTAACATGGGTTCATCCTAATCGAAAACTTAGCACGGTCACCGACCAACGAGTCAACAACAATCCCACATGGAATAGCAAATTTGCATTCCCCATTGATGATGAAATCTTGGAATCTGACGATGCTGCTGTGACCGTGGAGATTTACACTCTTTCCTAGTTTTGCGATGTTCTTGTTGAGACAGTACACGTTCTTATCAGCGATCTCATCACTCCATCACCCTGGAGCAAGCCAAACTCCAAAAACATACGGTTTTTAGCCCTTTAGGTTCGCCGGCCGTCAGGAAGCCCTAAGGGAAACTAAACATGGGCGTTCGGCTTCTGGACAGCAGTATGAGAAGTATGCCACTACCTACCCCTATCAAACCTGAGAATTATTCTGAAATAATTGTGAAAAAAAATGTTAAACAGGCGCAAGACGAAGAAGAGGAAGAGAAAGATAAAGACGAATTGAACGCGAAAGTACAGCTCTGGCGTTCTTTAAGCGTAGGATCCGAGGTTACCAAAACCGAATTCCCTCTAAAACAGGGATCAGTATGTAATGGCTCAATGGTAAATGGATCAGAATTGTGTTCGGATATCGGGCCCTCAGCCTCGATCGTAGCGGCGGAATTAGCAATGAAGTCACAATCACCGGCAGCACGAGCCCCAAATAAAATGTACAAACCTGCAGAAGATGAGGGAACAAGAAGCTCCATCCTGGGGGATTTGACAGTCGAGGAAGCCAAAGCCAAAGGTTATCAATATATGTCGAGACAAGAGAGATGGATGAGAGAGTCTGTGCCAGAGAATGAAATTGATGGCGATAAGTCTGAATCAATGAACGGATTTTCCCGAAGGAATTCAGAAGGAGACAAGTTTTCGTGTTTTTCCGGAAATCAGTATGGGATTCAATTGACCATTTCTTGTGGGTCGCCTAGCGATGGAGACAGCAATAAGAAACTCATTACTAGTAAGAGTAGAAGCAACAAGTCAAGTGAGGCAAATTCAGCTTAATTAGCCTTCTCCTTTACTTATTCAGCACAATTTTGACATTCCGATCCCTTCAATTTTTTTTTTAATCAGTGAACTGCCTATTGTATTGAAAAATGATTTCTAGAATGCAGAAAATAACTTGCGAGTAAGCAAGATATTTCCTCAGAACACTTCAAGGTATTTAAGAATCTATTATTTGTTGCCTCTAATCATGCTTGATGATGGATGTTCAAGTTGAAATCAATGGTTACACTGTGGTTCGATCCGAAATAGATTTACGTCTACATTGTGCTCTACTAAAGGAAACTCTGCGTGCATTAGGAAGAACTCACATCAAAATATCATTCATTCTTTACTCTCTTTTTAAAGCAATTATCCTTCATTTTCATTCTTTCTTGTCCAATTTCGACTTCTATCCTAAAATAATCAATAAAAAAGTGTAATTAAGTATCAAACTCGTAATAATCACCTGCAAATGCTACTTTTGATGACTAAGATGTTACACTCGTCAAACACCCCAATCTTGACATTTGTTGATCCTTGAATAGAGCAAAATAGATACTCTAAACATATATATTGAACTCGTATATAATTCAATTCAATATTTCCTCAAATTGAATATCTAAATTACAAAATTCAAACAAATTAATAGAACACAAGAATTAACAGTTATTTCATAAACCCCACAAATCATATATTTTGCTTTTGAGTGTGTGCATTAAATAATCTCAATTTCGCCGATGCTACTTGAATCTAGTCATGTATTTCATCTTTCAAAATCTATTTTCCCAAACAATGCCAACTTTCAAATATATCAATAAAGTCTCTCATCACTCGTATTGCTCTTTTGTTTTTTCAAATTTTTTTTTTCCAAAGGTAAATTAAACAAGTGCTAATGGGTTTATCTTCATCATCAACTTAACCACCCTCCAATCCTAATTGATGACCAAGACTTAGCCGGATAAGACAACACTTACAGTTGTTTTGCTACTGCCTCTACACACTTTGGTGGCTTTCAATTTTTTTTTTTTTTTTTTTTTTTGTCCCATCTTCTGTTTTTGGAATCTTTTTGATTTTCGAATATAGTTTTTACTCTATAATGTAGGTAGCTTTCTTCCCCAATAGATTATCTTTTAAACATTGGTAATGAATGAGGTCAAATTACTCAAGATTAGCTTCACACTACAAGTTATGTAACTTTTTCCTATGTTTCGCAACTAGTGCAATGCCTTTCATTTTTTGGCTAACGATAAGAATCAAAGAATAGAACAGTAATGATAATATTGGTTTTGGATTGATATAACCAACCTAGAACTTATTCTAAACGCGATATTTAACATGGTTCTAACGAAGTGATTAATGTAATAAACACATAATATAGTCTTAAAAAATTCAAAGGTAGTTAATTTACAGAACTAATGTTAAAGTTATCAATAAGTGCAATAAGAAATGCATTAATCACGCTCAATTTGTTCAAAAGTCGAGTATAAAATAATGAATTTCATGTAATAATTGAAAATGCAAGAGTTATCACAAATCAATTCAAATTTTGATCCAAGATAAATACAATATTATCATTAGATATAAATTACATTATTCAAGTTAAATCATGAGAGTATGCAAAATAAAGCTGTAAATATTTTCTTTCGATATTTTTTTTTCAATTTTTTTCTAACTCATAATTAAACCTGGATTATTTACACAAAATTCATTCGTGCAGATTAAATTACCAAAAAAGTTAAACTTTTCACCTCCAAAACTTATTTCCTACCTTGTCCTTAATGTTGCACTATGAAGTCCAAAACAAAAAAATTATATAAAAGAAATGAATTTTAGACTCGCCAAATAAATGGTTAACCTTAAAACTTGTAGAATCTTTTTCTTTCTCCTCCTTCAAAAGGGATCTCTTACTTTTTGTGCCAACTTTCCTATAATTTAGATTATAAGTGACCTTAACAATAATTAATAATTAATAATATTCAAGATCCAAAAGAATAATTCAAACGTATCAACTATTTGTTAAATCTACATTAATTCAATAAAATAAGTTGGTGATTGTGTGAATGTCGATTCCAAATATGTAAGTGATGAGGAGAATTTTGAAAAATTGAAGTTAAAACTTATTAACAGAATTTATATATATTTTTCAATGTTTTAAAGTTTTAGAGTTTTTATATATATATATATTGTTTGAGGCTTCAAATAGGCCCTTCAGTTCAACTGCAGTTGACCATGGTCAACTCCATATATTTTTTTAACAATCTGTTTACAAATTTTTTGGCAGTTGTGTTAGGATGATGACCAAAAATATAAATATATATAAAAATAAAAAAAATTTAAACATGCCCAAAAAATAAATACGATCCTATTATTTATGTTTTGTAATAACTAGAATAACAAGTTAAGGGCTCGTTTGACTCTTATTTTTCATCCATAAAAATGAAAAATATGACCGTTATCGATTACATCAAGCCATCAATTTTGAATTTCTATTTCTTATGTGGGGCCCAATAACATCTATATTTTTCATTTTCATTCTAGAATAATGATAATCAAACAGGGTTTAAATGTTAGAAACATTGGTTACTTTTAGGGGTGGCAACGAGTTGAGCCCCAAGCCGAGCCCAAACAAAATAGGTTCGGGTTTTTTTGCAAGAGTCGAGTTGAGCAAAAGCCCGGGCCTCAACTGGCCGGTCTGAGTTTTTTTTTCATATAACACAAAGGCCCCCTTCCATTTCAATTTTTTTTTTTTTTTAAATTTTACATACACGAGCCCGCTTGGCCCGATTTTCCAAAATGGGGCTCGATTCTATCGAGCCTCGAGCCGGGCCGTCTTGGCTTTTTACAGGCCGAGCCACAGGCGGTCAGAGCGGCGAGTCAAATTGACATCCCTAGTTACTTTCCTCTCAACTTTGCTCCTTTTTTTTACCATTATATTTTCTATATTTTTGTTTCAATTTTCAAAGTCATTATGGGATGTAAAACAAAATCAAAATATTCCATTCTTAATACTATTTTGAAATGCTTACGATCTAGTTTTTTGCGTACGATCAATCATAACAAATGTTACGACTTGTCAAAGTAGATTGTTTAAAATTAATATTTCAAAAATTTCAATAACATGCTAACTTTAAATATTCTTCGATGATCGTACACTAATCGAATCTACAAATTGCTTATGTCATCTCAAAACTTATTTCGAAAACTACATTATACGCATATCAAATAATCCAAACAGATATCGAAAATAGCTAAAGACGTGTTAAACGTGAGTTTTAAAGAAATACATCTAACTCGCATTTTTTTAAAAAAAAATCAATTATTTCATTAACATTTAAGACGGTGTTTGACACCCATTTTTTGGAGAATATAATTTTTAGAATAGTGATTGATGGGAGAATGTGTGGTGGAAAAGTTATGAAAAGTTTTTGATTTGTGTGTAATATTATTTTATTAGAAGAATGTGTGGTTGAAATGAAGAAAGAGAAAAAAATGAGAATGAGATAAGAATGAGTGCTAAACAGGGGCTTATTATTTTTGCGATACAAATTTCTCAATGTGATTTTCATTATTTTATTAGGAAATTTTATATGGAATATAACATAAAAAAAAATTTCGAAATTTTACATTAAAAAAGTCATATCCCAAGATACAAAATTACATGGGGTATGCTTTTTTCGGACGTAAAATTCTAATTGTAAAATTTCTCTCAAGTTATTTTCAAATTTGATTGTACTTCCCTAACTTTAAACTTCTGCGTCCGTCCTTTCTTTCCATTAAATTCTTGATTTATACTCTTAATCTCAACATTTGCACAAGTGCTTCATGACACTTTAAATATGACTTTTGAGGTCTTGCATAGTTTGCTTAAGTTGAATTTGCACCAAATTGTCTTTGTCTTCCAAAATTTTACCTTGTTCTTCTTAAAGTAGTACGACTTTCCTTCGTTCCCAATTCGAACTCAAAAATGTACACCACTAGGTTAAACAGGTTTAATTAAAAATTCAATTTTTGAGCAAACAATAAAATCGAAAGGAAGCATGCTAATTCCACTTTCTTCGAATTCTACTAACTAGGTTAACCCTGTTATGCTTAATTATTTGATCTCTACATTCTTTATTTGTTATTGGTTCCTAGAGTTGAATGATCGGTCTACTGTTCAAAATTTCATGTAATTACACAAGGAAGTTTTCTTCAGAAGTCTTCCTCTCTTGTTGAGGATTAGTGTGGTTTTCAATATTTTGGCCTTCCAGTCAAAATAGAGAATTGGCTGTTGCTCACAATGTGGATTGTATGTTTGCTCATATGGATTGTACTGTTCATCTGTACTTGGTAGTCTTGTAATATCCATAGTAATTCAAAGCGTAAATCATCCTTATCAACTTTATTTACACCTTGTATTTGAAAACCTGGTAGTCCACATAGTACTCCCAAAGGCAAGCCATCCTCGTTAATTTCGTCAAGTGATCATATCCATTCATTTTAAAAGTGTGGTAGGGCAAAGAAATCCCTCATAGGCATGCTATCTTCATCAATTCAGGATCTTACATCTCATATTTTTGTAGTTCTCTTGCTTCCTTTTGTTAATGGAACCAAGAAAAACAAGTATATTAGCTGAAAAGGAAAAATAAAAAGAAAAGAAACAAGAATTTAAGGGGGTATTTGTTTTTTATTCTCAAATTCTATAGTAAATCAATTCTCATTTTCAACTACACATTCTTCAATAAAATAATATTTTCCATCATATCAATAATTTTTTCTTTTTTTTCAACCACACATTTTCCATCATATCACTATTCAAAAATCAATTCTTCCCCCAAAAATCTCTACCAAATAAGCACTAAATAAAAACTTGTTTGATTAATTTTACAAGTATCCAGACCGTTATAAGTAATAAAGTACTATCAAATTTTATTCTAATCTAGTTTCAATCTAAATGGATGTGGTAACCTATTAACAAATCAATAGTTTATATTTTAACCAAGTCATCCTAAACTAATCTAAATTAACCTAACCAACCT